ATGCCATTCCACCATCAGAGAAATACAAGTTAAAGCCATAATGAAGTACTGCTTCACACTCACCATGATAGTTATAATTTTAAAAAATAAAATAAAATAAAACAATAAAAAATAAAATAAAATAAAACAATATAAGCAGGTGTAGTGGCTCATGCTTATAATCCCAGCACTTAGGGAGGCCGAGGTAAGAGAATTGCCTGAGTCCATGGATTCAAGACCAGTCTGGGCAACTTGGAGGGACCTTATCTTTTCAATACATAAAAAAATTAGCCGGGTGTGGTGGCACATTCCTATAGTTCCAGCTACATGGAAGGCTGAAGCTGAAGGATCTCCTGAGCCCAGTAGGATAAGGTTGCAGTGGCTGTGAGCGTGTCACTGCACTTCAACCTGAGTGACAGAGTGAGATTTCGACTCAAAAAAAATAAAATAAAATAAAAATAAAAATAAGCCGGGCTCGGTGGCTCAGTCTGTAATCCCGCGCCTTTGGGAGGCTGAGGTGAGTGGATTGCCTGAGCCTGCGGGTTCGAGACGCACCTGGGCAGCGAAACCTCATCTCTACAATAAATCAAAATATCAGCCCAGCATGGTAGCGCATGCCTGTAATTCCGGCTACTCGGAAGGCTGAGGTGGAAGGATTGCTGGAGCCCAGCATGTGAGGCTGCAGTGGCCGGGAGTGGCCACTGCACTCCAGTCTGGGCAACAGAGTGAGACTCCAACTAAAAAAAAAATAAAAATCAAAATAAATTGGAAAACACAAATATTGACAGAAATGTGGAATAATTGGAACTCTTATACATTGTTGATAGGAATATAAATTGGCTCAATCACTGTGAGAAACATTTGGCAATTTCTCAGAAAGTTAAGACACAGAATTACAACCACAATGTCACAGAAATTCTACTCCTGAGAATATACTAAAAAAATGAAAGCAGGAGCTTGCATATATGTACATATATGCTATACCAGCAGTACTCATAATACCAGAAGATAGGAAAACAATCCAAATATCCATCAATTTATGAATGGGTAAACTGTATACATGCAATAGAATATGATGCAGCTTAAAAGGGAAAAGAGTACTGATAAATGGTCACAGATTGTATGATTCTATTTATATGAACTATCTAGAATAGGTAAATTCATAAAGACAGAACAGGAGTTGGTGATTGGCAGAAAATGAGGGCAACAGGGAATAGGAAGCAACTGTTTAATGGGTTTTGATGTACTTTTTTAGTGATGAAGATATTTTAGAACTAGATTGAGCTGGTAGTTGCATGACATTGCGAATCTATTAGATACTACTGAATTATTTACTTTAAATTGGTAATTTTATGCTACGCGAATTTCACCTCAATTATATTATTATATTGCATAGAATTCCCTCACCAAACTTGAGGGCTACATTTCTGAAATATAATGTGCTTGACAATGTGATCTGCATAACAATAAAAATGGTGCGCAAAAGATGTTTAAAAATTTAAACAATGTAGGTAGAAAGTAGTAGAGAATATTTACCTCCAAATTACATTTACTTTCAAATGATGCAAACTGCTGAAATTAAACTTGCTACTGTAAGTAACCAATTTCCCAAATTTCATTTTTGAATGGGAAATATTGCAGTAGCATAAATATGAGCAGAGAGATTATATCACATATTTCATGGTATGTAGGCTATGCGTCCTTTAAACTTTTTTTAAAAGTCCTACTAGTAATAACTTAGCATCATTTATACTTGCAATTGGCTGAGGCTTTGACAGATTTATTGTACTGCTTTTGGGCACCATGTTTTAGGCCTTATAACGATATTTAGAGAGGTTATCATGTACTTGAAAATGTGTGGTTGCCTCAAGTGTGACATGGTGGTACATTTTAAATAGTAATTGATGATTAACACACAGATTTGTCTGTAGAGGGAGTTAGGTATTAATAAAAATTCAAGAAAAAGATGATGGTGACTAAACTAAGGAAGTAGAGTGAAGAGTTTGAGATGTAGCTTGGTTTGAATATATATCTTGAAAGTCGGCTGAGCTGTCAGGAAAGAAAATGCATATTCTCTTTCTTACATATTATTTAATATTCAATATGATCATGAAGTTCAAGCTGATATGAAAAAATTATCAACCATTATATTTAGTGTCAAAATGAATTAGTTGCAATAGAATAAAATAAAAATGCCAGCAAATAAAAAATGTTGCAAATAAAATTTGAAACAGAGAGATAAATAATTTTTAGAAACTCGCTTGTCTAGCACTGTTTCCAAGTGTTATATCACGAACCCTATGTGAGTGATGACAATTCATAACAATTGAGAAAGGGCAATTCCTCAACCTCCCATACTATTTGTCTTCCCAAGCTTAAATATTTGTCTATCATATTTATAAGGGACGTTACTTTACATTTTACTTAAATGTTTGCTTATTGGTGGATGTTTGCAGGGTAAATATTTGTGGATTCATATGTTGCTATCAACACAAATACTATAAAAGCATATAAAGCATGTATTAACATGATGCTACAGAATCATACAGATATCACCATTTAATAGAGGGCACTGAATGATTTTCATAACCAATGTTTATGAGTGTTTAAAGAACCAGGGCCTTTTTTTTTTTTTTTAAAGAGTGAGTTTCTTTCTTGGTTACGTGACTAAGCCAATTCATTAAAATGTAGTGTACTTCAATACCTTGAAAATTCATACTGACATTGAAAGGATTTTTCATCATTGCTAATATTTTTTTTTAATTACAAGAAACTTTTTGACATGTTTTTATTTTAAGGAAAGAAAAAAATAATGATATAACAATACTTATTAAATTGTACATGATACCATAAAATAATATAATATTTAAAATAAATAATAAACATGTGATTTTTGTTTGAAGACAGAATATGTAACCCAAATATTATTTGTATTTATTGAAGTATCTGAACATTACATCTTTTCTGTTGTTTTTGAGATAGGATCTGTGTTACTATAAAGGAGTAATTTATAAAGAAAAGAGGTTTATTTGGCTCATGATTCTGGAGGCTGTACCAGAAGCATCTGGTGAGGGGCTCAGGCTGCTTCCACTCATGAAGGAAGGCAAATGTGAACCAATGTGTGCAAATTATGTGGCAAGAGGGGAGACATGCAGGTGGAGTGCCACACTTTTTTTTTTACAAGCAATTCTCTGGAGAACAAATGGGGTAAACTCACTCCTGCAAGGCCAACACCAAGGTATTCATGAGGGAGAGGCCCATGCAAACATCTCCCAATAGGAGTCACCTCCAACTTTAAGGATCAAATTTCAACAAGTATCTCAGAAGTTTCAAAGAGTAGCAGTTCAAATGTCAATTATTTTTCCCCATTTCAAATGCATTGAAATGTATTGCTACTGGTCTAAGTTAGGTTATACATATCATTGGGAGCAAAAGCAATAAGATGGTTGGGGAAAAAATGACTATAAGAGAGAAGGTGGGCTGGGCACGGTGGCTCTTGCCTATAAACCCAACACTTTGGGTGGCTGAGGCAAGAGGATTACCTGAGCCCATGGGTTCGAGACAAGCCTGGGCAACTTGGCAAGACCTCATCTCTACAATAATTAAAAAAAAAAAAATTAGCCAGGCATGGTGGCACATGCCTGTGGTTTCAGCTACTTGGAAGGCTGACGCAGAAGGATCATCTGAGCCCAGCTGGTTGAGGGTGCAGTGGCTGTCTGCATGAGACTGCACTCCAGTCTGGGCTATGGAGTGAGACTCCGACTCAAAAAAAAAAAAAAAATAGAAAAAAAAAAAAGAAAAGAAAAGAAAAGAAAAAAGAGAGGGAGAGATAGAAGGCAATGGGCTTAGTGTACTGGACCTGGAATCAAGAATGGCCATGAAAGGGTATCGTGCAACTGTCACAGAGACCTGTCCTTCTCTAGCTTTTCCAGAAGCAGTTTACAAATCAAGGAGTTAGCAGTCCTTTACTTTTAAAATAGAAGTCTTTACTTTTAAGACTTTATTTTTTTAGGTAGAAATTCATTTCTGTGTAAAATCTAAAGGTTTTGGAAATATTATTCTTGTCTATGGTTTTTCAGGCATTGCTGCCTCATGATTGTAAAATCCTATTCAATGTGAAATTGCAGGTGTTCCTCAGAAGACCAATTGATCTACATGTGATTCTTGTGTTCTGGTGTTATATACAGTACCACATATTCCTGAGACTGAAACGGTGACTTGCTCATTTGTCAAAGTTTTCACTTAATAATCATGGGCTAAGTTTACATTTCCATCCTTACAGAAGGAAAAATCACTCACAAATATGCTGAAAATATCGGAGAAGGGACTAGAACAACTATTTAGCAACCAGTCACCAGTGACAGTGGAATAGCTAGCTTGCTATTGCAAAAGGGAAGCAAATAATCTATCTGGGAACCTACATGCCTTCTTTTAATGCCTACTCTTAGTTTTTTAAACAATTTAAATTTTTTAATAGCTATGATTAACATGATCTCAGATATGTTCAGAGAGGTTTGTAGAATGATGCAGATCTAGACCTTGAAGAATTTTAGCATGGGCATGCACATTTCTTCATTTTACCTTGTATGGAATATGCCTACATTAAACACAAATGGAAGGATGGGTGTTAATGGCATCATAAATGTGTTTGTGACATTCTTGCCTACAAGATTCCTGTTGAATAAACAACTTAGTGCTAAGTTACACTTTGTAGAAATGTCCTTGTTACTGGGAGTAGCTAACAACTTTAAAACGATCTAATTAATCCCAGTTATGCCTTCAAATTAAATGTTTCCACCTCAGTGGGTTTTACCTAGTAAAAATGTTAAAAATAAATAGTCTCCTGGGTAATATTTCTGGATTCAGAATTATCCTCCCAGCTCTCGTTAACATTCATAGAAAGCAAAAAGCAAAATCAAACTACAGACAGCTGAAAGCCTCTGATTAAAAGTCTGTTTTCTTACTAATAGCACAATGTTTAACATTTTGAAAAAGCAAGTTAGAAATCATATTTAACTTACGTTTCTGAAAGATTGAAAACCCTCTGTGGATCTCCATTCTCAATGGCATATGTTATAGGGTCTCCCTCTCGATCAGTTGCCTTCAGAGAGAAAATGTAATTCAAGTATTAAGTAATGGATATGGCTCTTGTCCAGTACAGAGTAATATGGAAACTTGAAACTAACAGCACTGAATATCCATGATACTCTTAAAGAATAAACATTAAAGCATGGCCTAATGGCAAGAAGTAAAATTAAAAAGTCTGTATCTGATCCCAGCATTTCTGCATGTACACAAATGTAATCTTGCTTGGTGTGGAAATACAGTAATTGTTTTCCCAAGGTTTATTTATTTAATTAACTTAATTAGTTAATTTATTGTATTTGATATTTATTTTATTTTATAGGAGTCTATATAATATAAACAAATGTGATGAACTGTTCCTAAATATTTAAGGTTCTATAGATTATTTAATGCACATTTTTGCTCTTTTTCTGTTCAGAATATACCAAGATAATAATTCAAGTCAGTAAAACTTTCTGTTTAAGAATGTTGAATTAGAGCCAGAGAACCTGAATTCAAAAGCAGGGTCCACTTACACCATGTGATTATTTTTCAATTTCTCCATTTACAAAATGGGAACTATAACAATACACATTCAAATAGATGTTGAGAGGTTTAGTTGAAATAATATATGTCAAGTCACATATACTAACATCTGGCACATTGTAAGCTTTCACTAAATATTAACCTTTTTTTGCTGAAGAATTCTCCCCTTCCACAACCAAGTCAGAGAAGATAAAAATCCACAACTCCTGGCTGATTGTTAGGTTTCTCTTGCCCAAACTAAAGACATATACCCTGCTTTGTGTCACTAGAATTCAGTGTTTGACTTTTAAAAAACATCCAATAATTTCTGTTTCCAATGAACCATTAAATCCTCTTTATAAAAAGACAAAGATGAAGAAAAAAATCTGGAGGATATATGATGAATGTGAGAAGTATCTGCCTAAAAATGACCCTGGTGAAAAAAGAAATAGCTGATAAAGGGCTAGATGTATTTTATTTTTAGGCCATTGGCCTGGCAGAAACACCAGCCTCTCCACTGAAAAGAACTGCCCTGGAGGGGTAGTTTTGTGGGTTCCTTTCAGTGACCGCACAGGAACATCATGGAACATCCTTATCAACCATCATCATGGGCTGATGGCAGCAATAAACTACTAAATATTTGCTACGTGCCACGTTCTGTGAGAAAAGCTTTGTAAAATTATTTAATCTGTGCCTCATAAAAGTGAAACACTTTCTTCACATAGTTCCCTTTTTTTTTTTTTTTTTTTTTTAGTCATCCATCATTTATGTAACTACCTGGTCTTTAGTTACACTCTGCCTTTTGTTTTCCCACTTTATCATGGGCAGAAGTCTTTCAGGTTCTTAGGAGGTGTCCTGGAGTTGTTTAAGTTGCTTTGGCCTATGTGTGGTGTAGTACACACTGGTGAGAAGGTTTGGGCTGGAGTGGGTATGTTTCTGTTGCCTGCACTGCTTGGTCCTGGTCAACTCAGGCCCTGTGTCGTTCAGTACAAATCCAGCAAGGTAGTCTGTTTCCCCTTGGTTACGGTTGGGATGTCTATCTCAGAACCAGAGGCGTTCCCTTGAATAAGCCAAAGACAAGGTAGGGTGCCCTGCATTGAGCAAGCCTCGGTGTCCTCTTGGGGAGAAGGAGTTGAAGCCCTTCCAGAAGTCAAAAAGTTAAAAAGCCTGCTGGCCACTTGAAGGTACCAGGGCTACAGTTCTCCAGGGAGCAAAGGGCTTGGGACTTTGGGGTCAGCGCTGGTACAGCTGGAGGACGCCTGCGTAGTGCAGGTCCCTCCACAGGGCGGCTTCCAGGGACAGGTCATGGTTTGCGTAGAATATCAGTGGCATCTTTCTTCGTTCGAAATAGTGGTCAGAACATTTCCAGTAGTTGTTTGTGACGAATCCATAGGCACTGACCTGGTCACAGATATGCAAGGCTGCCAGCCGCATGAGGGCTCCAGTACTAGGCATATATAGGTCTCCAAAATTTGT